GGGTTTAAGAATTCAGACTCTGAGCTTAAGTCTGATCCTCTCACTTACCAGCTCTGTGACCTTGGGCTCGTAAGTAACCAGTTCCTGGTTAAAGCATGGTTGTGCCTCAGTTTCTTGTTCATAAAATGAGAATAATACCTTCTAGGATTGTTGGAAGGGTTGGGCAAAATGAGATTATAATCTGAAGCATTTAGGATTAGAATACAGGGGCAGGTGTTTAAACAGTGATGCCCAGGCTCCTTCTTGGACCAACTGAGTCACGATCTTTCAGGGTAGGGTCAGCACTGGTATTTGTCAAGTGTTTGCCAGGTGAGTCCCAGGAGCACTGAGCTAGTGGTCTCCCTTCTGCACACTCCTGTTTGCCCCCAGCTATGGCTAATTGGCTGCTGTTGAAGGATTATGACAGAGCCATTAACATGTCCCCATCAGGTTGTGTTTTTTGCTTTCCTAAGTTTTCAAAGTTTTTGAGTCAATTGCCAACATTTAAAAAGGAGGAGATTTCACCTAAAAGCTAGATTTCTAACTCTTGAAAAATTAGAAGATCTGGTAACACAGTGAGCGGGCATGTGCTCTCCAGGCCCGTCTTCATCAGCAGGCCCTGTCTGTGCGCACGTCCTGGCCGCTCTTGGGCACTGCGCTCAGGTCCCTTGGATCTGCTGCCTCCACAGTGGCATACCGGGGTCGGCTCATTCCGGTTTGTGAGAAACCAACATATCTGCCCAACTCTCTGTTCAGTGAATCAAACTGGTGGCTTGAGATGGGCTGTGGTGGGCGTATTTACCCCACAGAAATTGGCAAATGCTAACAAGTCTTTTTCTTTTTTCTTCGGAGAGTCACTTTGCCAGCACACCATTGCCCCTGCCCCACTCAGCCACTGACTGGTGTTCTGAGGAGGAAGATTTGTTCCGAATAGAAAGTGATGGGAACAGAAGCATTTAAGGAATCACTTAAACTTGTTTAGCAATTGATTACACATTGCCTAACCTTGTGTTTAAAGGACTTCAATTTAATGTGGTGGAGTAGATACCCAGAGGAAACTCTTGATGAAAACTACCGCTGGGTATGACTTTTTTTTAACTATTTTTTAAAATACATCATTTTGATAGCAAGAAAACCACAGAGACCAAAAACAAAATGGAGGTGGAACCCCTGGGAAAGTGTGCTGGGGCTGAGAGACTGAAGATAGAGCCTCAGGCCTGCCCACGCCCACAAGCATAGGAACAACCTGTCTGCACGTACCCGGTGCAGCCACTGTGGAAAACAGTGCAGAGACTGAAGATAGAGCCTCAGGCCTGCCCACGCCCACAAGCATAGGAACAACCTGTCTGCACGTACCCGGTGCAGCCACTGTGGAAAACAGTGCAGAGGTTCTTCAAAACATTCAAAATAGGATTACCAAGCGATCCGGCAATCCCGCTTCTGGCGATCCAAAGGAAACAAAATCACTGTCCCAAAAAGACTTCTGCACCCCTGTATTCATTGCAGCACAGTTCACAATAGCCAAGACACGTAAACAACCTAGATGTCCACTAAGGGATGAATGTTTAAAGAGAAGCTGGTACATATACAGTGGAGTATTACTCGGCCATAAAAAGGAATTCCCGTCATGTGTGACATCCTGGATGAACCTTGAGATCAGTATGTTAAATGAAATAACTTAGACAGAGAAAGACTTTATCATCTTAAACCTCATATTTAAATCTTTTTTAGAATCTGAAAGAGCTGAATTCATAGAAACAGAGGGTAGATTGGTGGGTGCCAGGAGCTCGGGGGTGGGGGAAATGGGGAAATGTTGGTCAAAGGGTAGCAACTTGCAGTTATACGATGAATCCGTTCTGGGGATGCAGTGCTCAGCAGGGTGACCACAGTTGGTGGGTTGATGGGTGTGTTGACCTTATTGTGGTGATCATTTCACTATGGATGTATAGCAAACCATCACGCTGTACACGTCAAACTTACACAGTGCTATATGTCAATTATATCTCAATAAATCTGGGGAAAATAATAATTTTATATAAAAGTTAAAATGTATACATTAAGAAAATAACTTCTCCCATAAAACTTGGCTCTGGAATCCCAAAGAGCCAAATAAAGATGAATGTGAAGCTGACCTGCTGTGCCGAAGAGGACCTTGGAAGGCGTGCCTGTCTGCGGCCTGGAGCCGCTTGGAGAAAGAAGTTTTCCTTGAGAATTCCCAAGTGTGGTGTGCTCTGCATGTAGCACGTGACCCAAATCCAGGATGCCGTGGGATCTTGAAAACTCACTGAGGCCGAGTTTGACATGCTCCAGACACCTGACAGAGGCAGAGGCCGTCCCCCCGGAGGAATGTTTAAGCCCAGGCTCCAGAGATGAAGTTTCCAGAGCAGAAGTTCACCGTCAGAAAACAAAACACAGGAGGAGGCGAGGCTCTGTGAGTCCAGGCAGAGACGGAGTGGAAGGCCAGACACACAAAGACTTGGGGTTTGGGGATAAGCAGACGGAATACGTGTGCTGAATGCACCTCAAGAAATAAAAGAAAAATTTGAAGATACAAGCAAGGAACAAAAGTCTGTAGAAAACTTCTGAGTAGATTCCAAATCAAAGCACATCTTACTTGTTTTTTATTTTTTCTTCTCAACTAGATGTTGGCACATTGAAGACCCAGGGGCTGGGCTGCACACCTGATAGGTCACCGCCGATTGAAGGAAGGAAGTACTCAACTCTTCGGAAGCCAGCAGGAAGAACTGAGTTTATGACTACATCTTAAAAAGCCTATTGCAAAGCCCTAGTCATCACTTCTAAGGGAAAGGAAGATGTGAAGGCAGAACTGGGGTGAGGCTGCCAGTTGACGGGCCTGCAGCAGACGGCATTGGGCTGCATATGTGCTCCGTCTACTCCATTTCTCATCTTGGGAAAACCTGTCAAGTGAGCAGGTGTCCACGTCCACTTGTTAGAAAATCTATTTTAAATGCCTAGTAATTAGAATCTTAAATACAAATTACTTTAAAACATTGATGTGGTTCTTAAAAGAAAAGGCTGTGTGGAACCGTTCATGACTCTTCAGAAAGTATCGCATCTCCCTGGTGCAGTTTGGGAGGCCCACCCAAGTGTGAAGTTTTCTGGAAGAGGCCGACACTGAAGCCCGCATGGGGTGTGTGTTAGGGCTCCAGGGACATTAAATCTGAGTATTGCATCTCCCACATCCACAGCTATAAAGGGACTGAACATGCGAAACAGGAAATCTGGAAAAGTCTACAAAATATTGCAAGTCTAATGCATTGAAACTTCTCACGCTAGTAAGCTATGAGGCCTGCGTGTGTCACAGCAAACCTGGCACAGGGACGTGCCAAGGAAAAGTGCCTGGCCACTCACTGTAGGGACGGCGTATGTGGGTCTGAATGCTAGTCCTTAGCCATGGTTCGAACATCCAAGAAGCAAGTTATCCTTCGTTGGAGAACCTTTCTCTCAGTGCAGGGTCTGGTGGGGGCCTAGCAGTATTGGGGGGACCTGCTTGGTGAGCCCCTCTCTGCCCGAGGAGATGGCATGAAGGCATCTGGCCTCAGAGCTCCCAGTTCTGTCCAGAGGTGAAATCCTGGCTGGTGTTTCAGTACACTCCCCTCAAAGGCAGCTCTTCTCCCCGTGCTGGGAAGGGCTTGCCTCACCCTTCTCCCCACTCTCTGGATAGTTCACAGGCCTGTCATGTCACATTTCTGTGCCCCCCGGAGGGGCTTACTGGTGCTCATTTCTGGAGAGACAGCTGAGGGCCCCAAAATGGGTGATGAAATCACTCAGTGAGACATATGAAAGGAAGAAGGCCTCCGCGAGTCACCTGATGAAGCCGGGCACCTGCACGTCCCTTTGCAAAGCACGTAGTCCTTTTGCAATTCCACCTCCTAATGTATCATTTGAAGAGGTTTGTTTTTACACTTCTAAAACTCTGTATGTTGGAAACATATAATGAGGCCAGGTGAATAATTCCATAAAGGAACACAATCCCTGGGGGATGTGCCTGTTTAGGGAACTGACCAAACCCAGTCCCCTCTGGTCAGGCCTCCCTGTGAATCAAACTCCCTTTGGGGTTCGGGGCATTTTGCCCACCAATAAAAAGATGAGGTTTGAGCTGGGCCCTTTTTCCCCCCTTCCTTTTCACTTATTGTGCCATGAAAATATGTTGTTAAAGAATGAACCAGTTCTCTTGACAGCTGGAGAGGTGATGCCCCACGTGGATCCCGGAGGCAGGAGAGCCTGGGCCTGCAGTAGCTGGCCTTCCTGCAGCAGAGAGGAGGCCCAGCAGCTCGGGGGAGGCCAGTGGCCTCAGGAACCACTCTTGGCAGGCTGTCCCCCTGACCTGACCGCTGCCTGGGTTAAGGGGCGAATCAATTTTCTGTTCTCTTTACCTGATGCAGGGAGCATCTGACCCGATCTAAGGAAACCACAGGCAGAAGAATTCTATGCGGCCAGTCTAATAGAGCCCATTTTGACCATTTTTTCCTCTATAAACACAATATTATCAGTGAATTGTTCTTTGCAAACCAATTGGTTCCCAAGTGGACTATTAGAATTGCATTCCCTTCTCTAAAGGATAAGAACTAGAGTGTCTGTGCACATCTGAAGTCAGTCTCTCCTCTTCCTTCGCCACCATGGGACATGAATATTGAAGTTCAGCTGGGTCAAAATCCGTATGTCACTGTTGCTTAATATCTGGATTCAGGAAATACTCAGAAGAGAATGTTAGAGGGCTTGGAAAATTCCTTCTCAATGTCCTGCCTAATGCTATGTCATTCTCTCACATATTAAAAGAAAAAAAGCCTATTAACTTTGAATCTTTTGACTCACCAATGTGAAACAAAGGTACTTAAAATATTATAAAAGGCACCTGTTTTGTCTTGACTTGTCCCATGTCTAAGGTTGCTACCCCATCTCCTTCAGGATATACTTTTTTTTCCCAGTATTTATGGAGAAATACAACGTGCTTACAGAAACTCACAGGATAGTTTATACTTTATGTAATAATACACAGTTTAATGAATGATTGTTAAAAGAAAACCCACATAACTAACACCCAGATCAAGAAATAGGACATGATGAGCACCCTACAAACCCCTGGGGTGCCTGCCCACCCGGCTCCCCATTCCCTGAGGGCAGTGACTCCTCCCGGCCCTGGCCACCATTTCTCCTCTCTTCAGAGCTTTCCACCTGTTCCATCCCTGAACACTGTCACTTCGGTTTGCCTGGCTCTGATCTTCACGTGGAGGGGATGCCACCGCATACGTGAGCTCTTTCAGCTGCTCTTTGTGTCCTGCTTCTCTCTTTGTATTATGTTGGGGGAGTCACCCATGTTGCTCTGCGCTGTACAGTCCATTGTGAGAAGAGTTGTCCATCTACTTAAAATCCATATATAGTCACTTATCTGTTCTCATGTCAATGGCCAATTGGGCTGTTTCCAATTTAGGACAATTATAAATACTGCTGTTCTGCACATTCTTAGGCATGTGTGCATGAGTTCAGTATATACTTAACACAGAAACTTCTGGGTCACAGGCATGTGGACACCCCCTTTCACTCAGGGCCAGGCTGTTCTCCAAAGTGCATGTACAGTGCACAGTCCTGCCAGTCCCATGTGCTCCTTTTCCACATTCTTGCTCACACTTGGAGATGGTGAACTGTTTAATGTTTTTACTTTTTTTCTTTTAGTGATGATGGATTTAAACAATGTAGATTTAATTAAGATGTATTGAGCACCGGCTCAGCAGCAGTGCCTACCCTAGGAGCCTCTGTATATTTAATCATCAGGTCACAACAGCCCTGTAAAGGAGGTGATGTGCAGCCCGTTTCGCTGATGAGGCCTTTGAAGCCACAGCTGCAAGTTTCCCAGCTGAGGCTCTAACAAAGCTGGGCCTTCAGCTCAGGTCCAGCTGACCACACAGACCACGCTCTCTGCATGTAAGTATGTCGCCTCCGCCCCTCGTGTCTGCTTGGCCTCATCACCTGGGTGGCTGGCTGGGTTGAAGGTTGTTGCCTGTGGCCCACCAAGGCCCTCCTGGGGACTGGGCTGACCTTGTGCAACTCTGCGGTAGCTGACAGGCCACCACCTGAGGGCAGAATTACAGGAGATGGTGCTGCACTAGCCCCGGAGAACAGCGTCTTTTTATAAAGGGTTCCCTTAAATATTCTTTCAACTAGTTTATTCTGTTTCATTTCATGCCCAGAAACCCACTTCGTTCTCTTTCAGTCTCAGCCTTAGTCCTTTTGCACTGGGATCTTCCCTTTCAGACTCTCAGCTACTTGAGGGCCGAGGCAATGTCTCAATCCCCTTTAAAAAATCATTCATTGTTGTGGGGAGCTGTCCGTGAAAGGGTACAAAGTTTCCATTATGCAAAATGAATACATTCCGGAGATGTGTGCAACAGGGCACCTGTAGTTAACAGTACTGCATTGTCTACTTAAAATTTTGCTAAGAGGATAGATCTTCAATGCTCTTACCCAAAAAGAAAAACAATTAAGAAAGAGGGCAGAAACAAACTTTAAGGTGATGGATAAGTTCACGGCCTTGACTGTGGTGACAGTCTCATGGGTGCATACTTACCTCCAAACTCACCACGCTGCGCGTGGTGTAAGCTAAACATTAAATATGTATAGCTTTTTGTATATCAACCATACCTCAAGAAAGTGGTTAAAATAAAATAAACAAAGGAAAAGATTGTATGCTATGACACCCAGACCAGGGATCCACGTGGGAGAGAGAGCACAGGGACGGGGAGACATTCCTGCTGTTTTCTGCTCCACCTTGGGCTCACCAGGCCCTTTAAGCTTCCAAGGGCCCCGTTCCGTTTTCTGTAAGACAAATGGCTGGACTAGACCACTGCAGAGGGCATCTGTGGCTGTGTTAATTTCAGCAAGCATGTATCTCACACTCCCATTTGCAGCCTTTCAGACAAAAGTTCTGGCCCATATCACCGGGTCAGAGGAAAGGCCACAGAGCTCCTGGTTTTCCCATTCCCACGTGTTCATTTTCCCACTTGACTGGAAGCTCGGTGAGGCCCAGTATTGTGTCTGATTTTTCTCTGCATGTCCAGCACAGAACAGACACTCCATACATGGAAGGAAAGAAGGGAGGGAAGAAGGACACAGGGGAGGCAGGGAAGGCCGATCTTTGGAATCCTCCCACACCTGTGACATCCCTGGGCACAGACAGTGGGTGTCTGAACCACAGCCCTTGTCCACGGAGTGGGCTGTTGGTAGCAGGCTCTGGCCTTTTACTGAATCAGCAAACCATCAGACCTTCACAACATTACATTATTTTTACAGAAGCCTTTTGCAGATCGCTAATATTATCAGGGCCTTGATAAAGGATGCCAATGCACAGGAGAAGAGACAAATATTATAATAAAGTTAGACTCACGCAACCACAGACAACCCCCTGCTCGGGGAGACCCTCTATTTCTCCTGAGTTGGCCTTACTGTATGGCAACTTGCTTTCTGTCAGTTCTCGTTGGAGTGTTTTAAAAGGGCTCTTTGGGCAGTAATTTTCTTTACCTGGGTCCCGCTCTGGGCTCTGCCCAACTGAGACCTGTGTTTATCATGAATATGCCCCAATCATGTTTCCTTCCCATAGTTGCAACTGTCCCTAACTTCAGCATAAAAATACAAAATTTTAGTTCACGCAGCTGTATCCTGGGGCGCGGAGGCAGCGTGCGCCCCGGCGCCCACGCCACAGCACCCTGCCCTCCGGGGAAGCAGCCTACGGACTTGCCCGCCCTGGGGTCGGAGGGACACAGCCCCCAGCCCACCCCCCACTGACGAAGTCTGACCACTGGCTGCTCCTGCGGGATCAGGCCCCTCGTTTATTCTTTCCCACTTCCTTCACAGCTATCCAGGGGAAGATTACCCCCTATGTAGAAAAGGTGAGCTCTATTTTCCAAAGCACCCATATGAGCCTATAATAAGTTTCTGTTTCCAAGGTTTGCACTTCCCAGGTGGGTCCCAGAGAGGTTCTGCAGGAGGTTCCCCAGGTGCTGAGCTGCCAGGCAGCCTCCTGCCCCTCTCCCGTGTGGGGTTCTGGGTCCTGGGACAGCTTCTAGCAGTAGGGACCCGGCCTCACTTTTTGGGTGGGGGAGGCAGAGAGAACTGTCGGTCCGAAGCCCTCTACCAGGCAACGCCATGTCAACGAGTTTAGGTCCTGAGGTAGGAGAATGGGTGAGAAAGGGGCGCCCCCGTACCCCCTTGGTCCCTGCTGGCTCCCCTGGGGCTCACCGCAGCAGCTGCGGGCATGCGGGGCCACGGAACCACCTTCCCTCCCTCCCCCTGCACTCGGAGTCCCCCACCATTCACCGAGGCTTCAGAGGGGACCCTGTGCGGCAGGGCGCTGTGTCAAGTGCCAAGCACCGCCTGCCTGGTCCCAAAGCTCCTGGTTTCCCAAGCCTGTGAGGTCAAACCCTACGCAGGCCCATTTCAAAAACTAGATGACAGACTTCATAACGGCAGGGACATGTCTTAGCTCTTCTGACTCCCGGCTTCCCTGGAGCTGTTCCAGTGGCTCAGCCAATGTCCTCCGTTGCCTGAAATCAAAAACAGCATCTTCCACACCCAAGTGCCACTACTTTTAAAGTATTTAGGTGCTGTTATAAATACCTACCACTGTGAATTCTCCACGATTAGTAGAGAAGATAGAGCCACAATCATGGGAGAGGCCTTACAGAAAGGCCGGGCAAAAGCGGTCAGTGGCGGTGCTTTGGCTGGCTGGCTGCGGACAGCCCCGTCCTCGACCCCAGCCCCCTGCTCTTCTGGGACGAGGGTAAGGAAGGGTGGCCGCCCTTTCTCATCGCGAGGGCACTCTGCACTACTGGGTGGCGGGCTTGGTGTCTGCATTTCTGCTCAGTGGGCCTGTAACTGCTGTCACAGGAAAGACATGGCTTGGGAGAAAAGACTTTTTTAAAAAGAGATGAGCTACATAATAAAGCCCTTCACATTTATTCTGGGTTTTTAAACCACCACCACTGCCCTCATTCTAATTTTGAATATCTTTTAAAAATAGAATAGTTGCTGAAAAGTGAATCAATCACTTCGGTTTGGAGCATTTTTCCCTTGAAGGTAATTTTTCAGGAGAGTCTTAGGAGGCGGACCTGGGGCTTTCCGTGGAGGCCGCGGTCAGTGTTCGCACCACCGCTTTGCCTACAGGAACCCGCAGTGGCCGCGTCAATGTTGTCCTGACACTCCTGATGCCCTTTCTGCCGCCATCCTAGCTGGAGGCATCCGCACAATGCTGTTGGACATCGGTCTCTCCGCAGGGGTCACCGTGGTCTGTCAGGTGGGCTCCCCGCTCTTGCTGGGCCAGCTGCCAGGGCCCCTGGGGTCCGTGCAGAATGGCCAACCTCAGGGCGCCCCGAGGGCCCTCAGCTGCACAGCCTGCAGCGCGCAGCCTTAGCCTTCGATCGCCCCCTGCGTGCTTCCGGGGCACGACCCCACCAACCCCTCCTCGTTCCAAAGCTGGTTCACGCTAGTGACGTGTCTTCACTTGGACTCTGTATCTCAAGTTCCTTTCGTTTGAACCAGCTGACTTTGTCCCAGTGCCCATTCCAGAAAACGCTCCTGCTGACCACGGGTTTGTTCTCGGGACAGGTCTTCCCGCCTCCCCTGGAGCCGGTGTGAGACTGCTCCGGGCTGCTTGGGGAAGCCGGACCCTGAGGGAACCCACGCATCGGGGTGGGGCCGCTCTGCCCCCTCCTAGGAACGCTAGAGTTTTCCACAGTTCACTGTAATGTTTGCCTCCCAGCCGCCATGTGTAAGGTAGTTGAAGGGTCGGGATGGGAACAGAAAGCCGCTGGTGAAGTCTCAGAGAGAATTTCTTGATTCAATGAAAACGTAGTTATGCTGCTCATCTCCCAACTTAAGATGCCAAGAAACAACAACGATATTTATGAAATAGGAGGAAGGTACTCACTGGGAGGAGAAGGAAGCCAGGGCGGGCTGCCCGGCTGCCCAGGGACCGTGCCGCCCTCCTGCCTAGGGCAGTGAGGCCCCAGCCCACACGCAGGCTCCAAGTGTCGCTGGGAGGACAGACACCCTCAGAAAAGGGGTGGATTCAACCCAAGGGACCCGGCAGAGGCGGTCTCCAGCGGCCGCACCTAAGCACGCGCAGTTTATGCAGCTCAGAATCAACATTTCTCTGCTGAGCCAGGGAGGCGCTCGCTGGACAGGCACTGCTTCCTTGCGGGTGGGGCCGGGGGCGGGCAGGGGAACCAGGCTTGGCCAGAGCGAGGCTGCGCCCTCGGCCCCAGCACCCGCTCCCAACCCGTCCTCCCGCACCAAGCAGCGGCCTTCCCTGCCGAGCGCACCCCGCGGCTCCCGAACTCCAGGCAGCTCACGTGGGCCCAGAGGGTGCCGGGAAGGTCGGCACACAGGCGCACGGCCACGGGGCTTCCTGGAAGAACCTCTCTCCTCGTGGCTCTCGGGGCGCGTCGTGCATGTCATCTCCAGTGAGGTAGCTACAGCCAGAAGCCCTGTTTTGCAGATGGAGAAGGGGGGTGGGGAGCAGGGACACGTATCCTCCCTGTTGGTCACCTTCACCACCAAACCATCGCACCTACTTGTTTTCTCAGCACCTCGGACTGTTTCACAGCGAAGTCCAGATAAAGGCAACTCACTCTCCTCCGTGCTAACTTACCCGGGCCGGGCCGGGCTGGGCTTTCTGGGGTGCAGCGGGCGCTCTGCGCAGTCCCTGGGCAGCTCCGCCTGGGTCTGCTGGTCTCCTCCTGCCCTCTTGTGGCCGTGAGCCGAGGGACCGTGCGAGTCCCAGTCGGTCCCCCGCGCCGTCTGAATGACCAGACTGAGTTACTCTCCCCTGCCCTCCGCACCCCAGGAGGCGGAATCCACTGGACTTGTAATTCACTGACCTCTTCACATGAAAGAAGTGAGAAGAAAGGGGGTGTCTGTGAGCGCGGGTACCAAAACGGTGCTAACTTTGACCAAGTTGAACTTTTGCTGAAGATGGGGAGATGAGGTGCCACAGGAACTGGGGTCCCGCCATCAACCCAACTTGGTTCCGAAGTGCGAGGTGACGGTGCACCCGGACAGACCTTGTGAGCAGCCTCAGCCTAACCAGCAGTGCACCCGCCCATCTGTGCCACAGGTCAGCTGAATTCACTACTCCGATTGCTTCAATTGGGACTTCCCAGGTTCTGAGGAACTTCAAATACCAACAAAATAAAAGGAATTTCTGGGCTCATATAACATAAAAAAAACAAAGGTAGGGGAAACTTCCGCACAGATTGATCCAAGGCCCCTGTCGTTTTCAGGGCTCTGAGTCCGTGTCTGCGATCCTTTCTACCTTGGCCCCCATCTCCTCTTGACGCTGGCATCACCCCAGGCTGCAGGACGCCGGTAGCGGTGCCAGGCAGCGCTTGTATCTGCCTGCTACATAGTCCAGAGAAAGACTGGATCATCTCTTCCAATAGCGCCCAGAGCCTGAGGATGTGGCTCAGCCAGAAGCCCTTGGTAAATATTTCCCTGTCTCTGTGAGGACCAGACTGGCCCCTGCCCTCGTCCCTAAGCCAATCACGATGCCCAAGGCAGAGCGGGGCCCCTCCAGGAGATGGCATAGCACACACAGCTGCCACGAAGTGGGCTGGGGCATTCTCCAGAGAGACTGGGTCCTGAATTTTGATGGGAGAAAAGGAATAGATGCTAGGGAGGAAGCCGGTGAAAGTGTGCCACGCTAGTAGTCTGGGGATGTTTCCCAGCATATGCCCCAGTCAGCAGACAATGCAGTTACCTGTAAATCACAGTTCTATACTAATAGAGCAACATGTCTGCACACTATAATACAAAAACATAACTTTCACGTCATAAATAAAAGTGGAATTTTAAATAGTCAAGTTTTTACAGGGCTCAAGTTTTTTCTTTCAAGATTGTAATTAAAAATTGCAAAAAAAAGCAAACATACAATTAAAATATGGGCAAATGTGAACAGACATTTTCCCAAAGACATACAGATGGCCAGCAGGCACACGCAGACTGCTCCACATCATCCATCACCGGGGAGACGCAAACCAGAACTGCAGTGAGGTATCGCCTCACACCTTCTAGAACGGCCATCACCAAAAAGATGAGAGTTAACAAGTGTCGGCAAGGATGTGGAGAACAGGGAGCCCTGTGCACCATTGGTGGGAATGAAAAGTGGGGCAGCCACTAGAGAAAACAGGATGGAGGTTCCTCATAAAACAGAAAATAGAACTACCATATGGCCCAGCAATTCCGCTTCTGGGTATTTACCTAGAGAAAACAAAAACACTAACTTGAAATGATGTATGCACCCCCACCATGCTTGCTGCCACGCTGTCTACAACAACCAAGAATGGAAACAAGCCAGGCGTCCGGCAGTGAATGGATACAGAAAATGTGGTACAGACAATGGAATATCACTCAGCCATAAAGAAGAAATCCTGCCATTTGTGATGACATGGACGGACCCTGAGGGGATGCTAAGTGGGATGAACCAGACCGAGACAAATACAGAATGGCACCCCTTGGAAGCCGACTCAGAAACAACAAGCTGCGCCCACAGACACAGAGAACGGACTGGTGGCTGCCAGAAGTGGGGGTTGGTGGAAACGGGGGAAGGCGGTCAAAAGATACAAACCTGCAGTGACAAGATAAACAAGTTCTAGGGATGTATCGTACAGCACGGTGACTGCAGTGTTATGTTGTATTGCATATTTAAAAGTCACTGAGGGAGTAGAGCTTAAAAGTTCTCATCACAAGAAAAAAAATTTTTTCTAACTATGGTAATGGATGTTAATTAGACTTACTGTGGTGATTGTTTTCCAATATATATTACTATTGAATCTTATGTTGTACATCAGAAAATAATATAATGTAATATGTCAATTATATATTAAAAAGATTGTGATGGACTGAAAACACTTTTTCTCTTTTAAATATCTTAGTTCAACACTTTATGATTCAAAGACCTGATTTTATTTCTGTACTTGGTTTTAGTGGCTGTTACGGCAGACCAAGGCACTGACACGTAGATTGAAATTAAGAAAATCGTGTTAATGGCTGTGCTTACTAATTCACGATACTAGCTTCTCAGTTCCACCTACCACTTATGCAAAGATTTTTTCCATCTTATTGGCACCAAAAAATATTTTATTTTTAATAAGTGCACCCTTCATTTGGAAGACTTTAAAACTTTGTTTTTTAAGTGTGCAGATCTAGGGGTTTTTAATAAATGACACATCATTTTTGGCCACAAATCACTTCATGATGCAATATTCCCAGATATGTTCAAAATGTTCTCTCTCTAGCAGCAGTTAAAGCTGTTGTAAACTGCTTCTTTCTTATTCTTACTTTAAAAAGTCACCTATCCCTTGAAGGTACTGATTTTACAAATTCACTGTCAGCATACCACTAAGCTACTTGTCACCAAAAAGGTGGGCATATTTAGAACTGTCTTTTCCTTTTATGTGTTTGTCAAAGTGCATAACTCATCCTTAAGTCCAACAAGTCTTCTAAGCACATTGCCGTGGGCAGCCCCAAAACCTCACTGGGGTTCAGAGATTTTCACAAACCACCTCTATTCAGCACCATTTCATTTACAAAATACCTAGAAGATCCTTTTCTTTAAAGGTCTTGTCTTTATAAAAGTAGCCATGTCAGTGCCAGCCTGTAACACCTAAACCTAACGCCAGATGACTCCTTGCTGACAAACGGTAGGCGAGGGTGCCGATGCCCAGGCCTCCCGCTGTGGCTGCCCCCTCCCCTTGAGGAAGAGCCACAGGACTGGCTGTTTGACAAGGGACCTAGAAAGGTGCTAAGGGCAAGCCAGATAACAAAAATGAAACAATTTTTACTTCTAAAGTTTTAATAAGCAATATTTCAAAGCAGTAACTTTCCTGTGCTTTCTTCCTGCACCCCAGTACAAAGCAAGTGGCCCTGTGGCATGTGCACCCCCCCAGCTGGGCGACCAGCAGTACTTCCACTGGGCCAGTCTGCCCCCTCCCCACCACCACTGTGAATTTCTAAGCCTCTCAGGAGCAGGGGCTGTGCCCTGTCCTTCTCAGCCCCCCAAGAATCTAGCAGAGAGAGAGCACAAATCTCAGCTGCTCTGACACTGGATTAATGGAATGACTGGACTCCACCAAAAGTGGACCCTGTGATGTGCAGCTGCCCACCAGACCCAGTGTGGCAGGGCTCAGGGATGAATAAAGCCCAGACCCGACTCCTGAGGCTCCCTTAGGTTCTGGGGTGAAGGATATAACTAAGTGATGGCATATGACCCAGGTCAGAATGAAGCGGGAGCTGCTGGAGAAATGCAGGAAAGGGCTGCGGGAGAATGGGGCAAAAACTCTAGGCTCTCATTCATTCTCCCTAGAAGGATTGAAAAAGGCTTCTTGGAGGAGGTGGCAGTCTGCTCAGTGGCACAGGTTTTGTGAAAGTATGGAGAGAAGACGATGAAGTGGCCTCAGGAGGCAGCACCGCACACCCTGCCACTCTCAAGGGGCACGGCCCCAGGTTCACAGGTGGCGGGCTGGGACAGGACAGTCGCATCCCCTATGGTTCCAGATACACGGGGTTCTAAGAAGTTTTGCCCAGTGGGTAAAAGGCCATTAGATGCGATGTTCTTCCAAATCTTCCTTCCGTCTAGAACACCCTCTCCAGGGGGTCATCCAGGTGGGCTCCCATGTCACCCAGGGCTCCACGGGGATGCACCCCCTTGGGGGCCTCCCTGTCCTCACGGGAGGAGGCCCAGGCACACCGTCATACCACGCTCTTCATTCGGTGTCTGCACTAAGCTCACCCGGGTGTTTTCTAGCTGGTTTTTATGGTGACTTGTTAACAGCCTGCTCCCTGCAAATTACAAGGGTCAGGCTTGCTGTGATCACTCACCACAAACACAAGTGCATGGCGTCCCCCAGGTCCTCCTAAAATACTTGCTATCAGGCCACTCTGATGAGACAGTCTCTCCTGAGATTACCCCAAATCCACTTATGGGGGAAAAAGGAGAAATAGAGGTGTGTGGGAATTGCTCCAGTGAACAGGGGTTACCAGGCAGCTTTGGTTTAACTTCTATGTAAACCTAATTGGTTTCATTTCTCTCATTTAGTTACTTGTTTAAAAAACTTAGTTTAAAAAGTCCCACTGTGTTTTATGCACATGTTTATGTTAAGATGCCTTAAGCGGTAGAGCTAAAAAGCACCTTAAAAGTTCGTGGGGTGGACAACACTGAGTATGTGATTTCTCCACAGATTTCTCTAGGAATGGTCAAGGTGTTGAGGCCTTGTTTCCAGTCCTAGCTGACCATTAGGTTCTCTAAGGGCATTATTCAAAATACAGATTTCTAGGCCCCTACCCTGGAGATTCCAGGTCTGCAAGTCTGGGGGAGGGGCGGGAGGGCCCAGTAATGGGCATTAGGCTGTCCAGCTGCTCCCGACGGCTCACTAGGTTTTGGGAGCAATGTAATAAATTCTCCTTTTCCAGTCCTCCCGAAAACAATACCAGCGCTTCACTCTACTGCTCGAAAGCCATTACTGTGAAGATAGCGGTGTTAAGGTCAAAAGACTTTGCTTAAAATATGCTGACTACAGTGTTGGTCCGACTCTCCCTGAATGTTGGGGTGCCTGCTTGGGGACCCTGCAGCTCCGGGGTCTCTGTGCCCGGGCGCCCCATCCAAGGCACCCGGGCCTGACACCCTGCATGTGCCAGTGGGCAGGCAAGCACTCGGGGCCGAGCCCCTGACGTGACTCGAGGAGCTGGTGCACACATGCGGAGCCAGCGTGACTCCGGGCTCCCCCCAACCCGAGGCCCCAGGCAAAGGCTGGGGGGGCTGTGGATAGAACTGGGGGAGTTCCTGCTATTTTGAAGAGGTCTGAGCACGCAGCCTCGGTACTCGGCGGGGCCTAAGACCCAAGGGGTGCGGCGTCGGCGCGGCGGGTGCGGCCCGGCCCAGGAGGAGGCTGGAGCCGGGCCTCCACTCGGTCTCACCTGCGCTGGGCAGCGAAGACGCGCAAATGCACAAACACCAGGGGCCCCGAGGCCACGCGAGGAAGGTGAGGTGACAGCCCAGTCGCCTCGGGCCGAGGTAGTCGAGGGGGTGTGACACCCGGCCACTGTCTGGGGCTCTTAGTTCATGCGACAGGTGTCCTGGCTCGTCTGTCCTCATCCTCCGGATGGAGCCTGAAAAACGGGGAAGAATGGCCACCCTGTGACCCTGCAAGTGTCTCAGGACCAGTCACGATGACAGTGACCCCTGAACGCAGGCCCGGCTGGCAGCTGCGGGGCAGAGAGCGGGCAGCCCAGGCCGCCCCCACCAGCGCTGGCCGCGCCTGGACGAGCCAGGAGACCAAGGCCGGTGGCAGCAAGACTCTGCTCCGCCACGGAGGTGGGACGGGGGCCGGCGCCTCGCGGTCCGGTGCAGCCGCGGCCGACCCCCGCGGGGTGGGGAAGAGCCCAGGGAGAGCAGGAGAGGGGGACTTACCCGGGCACGCGCGGCCCGAGGTAGGGGACAGGTGTGAGGACACCCGCTCTGCGCGCGGCCCCGAGGCAGCGTCGGAGGCGCCGAGTTCGGCGCACGCGGGGCAGCCCGGCGTCCGGAGGAGGGAGCTGCCCGCCCCCGTCCCGCCCCCCGTCCCGCCCCCGTCCCGCCCCCACCGGCCGCGGCGCAGGCGCAGTCCCGCCCGGGGCCCTGGCCACGCGCCGCCACGCGAGCCCCGCCCCCTGCGCCCCGCGGCTCCTGCCCGGTGCGTCCCCCACGCCCTGCGCGTGCGCTTCCCCGCCCTGCGTCCACCTGGCCGCGCTTTGGGGGATCGCGTCCGCGCGCTGCGCTCCGAGGGCGGCAGGACCAGAGGTGTATCACAAAGGTGTAAGCGATTACTTTTAATTCTACGGGCTACCTTCCTCTAATCAACAGAAATCAGGTGATATTTCTTCAGCAATAGAGTTTAAGATTCTGCATGTTACAAAATTCAGTTTAAAATATGATAAGTTATTAGTACAAAATAAAGGGCACGTTTGATGATAGCAGTTTTCACACTGTGCACCCTCGACGTTGGGTTCTAAAGATGAATTGTTGTCTGAGAGATCAAGTTATACCCCATTTCAGCATTCAGACATTCAAGTCATGTCTCCCGCTTCTGAATTTCCAGAGCACTTCACAACCTCACGTGCTACCGATCACCCTCTGCCCGTATGCTAGGCCAACGTGTAACGAGGAGGGACGGGTCTTACCACTTTGCACCACGTCCCCAGCATACAATACTTGTGGCTCTGCCCTTTCTCTACCTTTTTCTAGACTCCTTGGCTGACCTGAGTGCCCTCGGAGTTCCCAGGACTCTGGGCAAGCTGCCCTCCCAGCACCTACTACGCTATGACCGTTGGTAGTCCCCAAAGATCACCAGCCCATCATGCCTAGGGAGTGTTTCATTCAGCTCGGTGTGCCTAGCTCCTGGCACAGAGCAGATACCCACTAAATATTGAATTAATTGATTAGTGAATATCTGCATATTGTAACTCTATGTTTAACACCTTACGGAGCTATGTCTTGCCAATGGGTTTCAGCCCCAGACAAGTTCACTATTGATTCAGTGAGACCAAAAAATGACAGTGGAACATTCTTGGGATGAAAGGGTTACACCCAACTTTATCCCCATGGTGGCAGGTCAGTCACCAGAATCCCATCCACTCAGGGCAAGTCTGCACACAGCAAGCCGGCCTCTGCCTCCAGGCCCCTCTGCCCCCGCAGCCGTCTCAGTCTCTGTCCTCGGTGCTGCCACCACTCCAGGCTCTGCTCTCCTGCAGTTGTGCGGCCCAGAGCCCTGGGCAGAGCTCTTTACATAGTCAGTGTTGCCCACACGTGTGTAGTTAGCAAGCCAACCAGGGTCAGGTGAGAATCCTGGCTGTAGGAATGTCTTGCCAATGGGTTTCAGCCCCAGGCAAGTTCACTATGGATTCAGTGTGACGAAAGAAAATGACAGCAAAACGTTCTTGGGGTGAAAGGATTATACCTAACTTTATTTCCAGGTGGCAGGTCAGTCACCAAAATCCTGTTCAAAGTGAGTCTACATGCAGCAAGCCGGTCTCTGCCCCTGGGCCCCTCTGTCCACACAGCCGTCCTCTGGGCCTCTCTACACAGTCATCCCACACAGCCGTCCTCTGGGCCTCTGTCCTCGGCGCTGCCACCACTCCAGCCTCTGCTCTGCTCTCCTGCAGCCTTGCAGCCCTGCCACCGTGTCATGCCCAGAGCACTGGGCGGAGCTCTTTTAATAGAGTCAACAGCCATGTATTGCCCACAGGTGTGCAGTGAGCTAGTCAACCATGACCAGGTGAGAATCACAGGAACTCTCATTTTATCCACAAGGAACTTTCTGTACAAACTGCCAAATTGTTTTCCAAAGCTACACCATTCACCTTTCCTCAGTGATGTGTGAGGGCTCTGGTTTCTCCACATCCTTGTCAGTACTTGTTATCTGCCTCTTTAATTCTAGCCACCCTAGTGGTGTGAAGCGGTATCTCGTTAGTTTGATTTGCAATTCTCTGAGTAACGATATTGAGCATTTACATGTGCTTACTGGCCATTTATATCTGCACACTATTTAATCAAATTATAAAATGTCAAGAGTTTCACAGAAAAACTTGACAGATGAGGCCCAAAGAGTATGTTCAGTGACTTGTTCAAGCTTACGTGCCCAAGGTCATGTCTGCTTAGCGCAGCGTGGGCCCCGCGTCAGTGCTGTCGTTGCCCACCCGGCCCTCCCGCCAGGTTGCCTCTGGAGAATGAAGTGACCGGTTTCTTACAATCTGTACAAGCAGGTGCTCTACCGCTGCCTGATTTTACACTGTTTTTTCTTCTTTGGTCGGATTGATTTCATCTCTGAACATGGTTTTCTCTGGCTGCAGACTTCATAGCTGAGCAGATGGTTTTCATAACTTGCATCTACTTAAAGCTTCAAACAACTAACAGCTGAACTCCAACCTTTAAATAATGCGAAGCAGCTTTCCTGGCCACCTAAGTGCTGGTGAGAATGGGTTCAAAGGCACAGGATAAATTTAAGCCTGCCCACCAATGTTTCCACTGTGACCAAGAACACAAACAAAGTAAGAAGTATTTAAAGTTAAGGAATGTACGAGGCTGGGAGTTACACACATGGGTAGATATAGAGATACGCTGATATTGCTCAGGCCCCCAGGGACATACCACACAGATCTGGAGATAAACTGGAAGAGAAGCCATCCTTATTGTCAATTCTCAGGGAAAAGGCAGGTTCTCAGACAAGAAACCGAAGTCAAAGAGCTGGCCTGGGGATGGGCTCTTACATAGTCGAGATAGACTAGGTTATGCTACAGTAACCAACACCACCAAGAATCTCCATGGCTTCTCAGAATGTGATTTCATTCTTGCTCATGCAACATTCCCCGGGGCTGTGCACGTGGGGACTGAGCATCGCAGGCCGCTTTCACCTTGGCTGTGTCTGTCCTAACAGTGTTGCCAGGTTTTCCCTGGCAAGAAGAGGGAGCTGGATGATTGCAAACAAGCTAGTGAGTGCTGCACCTTGGAAGTGACCTGGTACATCCTTCTGCTCACAACCAATTGCTCAGAACTTGTCTCATGCCCTTGCCTAACTACCAGGGGCTGGGAAGTGGGATGACCTGGAAGCTTGGAAGGAGATGACAGGATACGGGCAAGCTCTAACAATGTCTACCACCGATGGACAGGGGGTCCCTTTTGGCCCATGCTCTTGCCAGGGAAGCTCTTGGGGCTATCCTGGTGTTTATGAGAGTAACCCTTTGTGGTAGGTGACGGAGATGAGTCTGGAATGTGGAGGTGGAGCTCAGAGGGCAGATGCATGCTGGAAATGATCAAATTGACTGTTATTAGCCAGATCATCTAGATCCCAAGTATTTTCTGAGTTTATTATCTGGATCCCCAAACATGAATGAAGTCTTTGTCTTAGCTAATATTTGGGGAAACTCAGCAGGTCTGGCTCAGCCTTGCCTGAGCCAAACTACGGAGAAGGTGACAGTGGCGGGGGAGGCCCGGCACCTCCAGCCAGGAGAGTCCCATTCCTTCTCCAAGTCAGTCTTGGAGATTCTAGTTTTTATTGACATCAACTGGTTAGCTTTCCTTGAGGAATAATAGTCAACATATAGATTCTTCTATCAAAACAACCACTTTTTTTTTAGCATTTGTTATTAGATCCCACGTGGTATCTAGCAGAATGCCTCACCATAAGAAGCTCTTAAACAGTGTTTATTCAATAAATTAAAGAATAAACAAGAGAACTGAGAACTAGCAAATACTGCATTCCCAAAGGCCAACCTCATTCAGTAAGACTCCCAAGTCCATTCTCAGCCCAGGGTGGATCGTGTGAACTGGGGAGACTCCAAACCTGGTTTGGCTACTGTAGAAACACTCAGGGCAGGCCTGCGGCACTGGGAGGATGTCTGCTCACTGTTCCTATGGGCAGTGTTGCAGTTGCCCCTCCTTCCCAGGGACTGACCATCTGCCAAGCCCTGTCCTGCCCTGATACTCACCTGAGCCAGTTCTCAGTCACACATCCACATGATTCTAATATCTGTCCCGCCTTTTCTGTTCCCAGCACCACTGGCCCTTGTCAGTTCACACTGTACTGCAGCTGCGCGACTGCCTGGATGATATCATTGCAAGAAGATATTGTGGACATGGAAGACTGGGTTGGGATCAGTGCCACTTTAGACATCCTGAGTTTAAAGAACATTCAAGAGGAGAGATTCAATAGGCAGTTGGAAGTGCAGGACAGACGACTGGGGGAAGTCAGGGGTGGGTACACACATTCAGGAATTGTCAGCATCAGACGGCATGTGTGGTTGTGGAAATCAAGACAACAATGTGAAGAAGCTATCTGTCAAAGTATTTTGTATAATATTCGGTGTTGTTTTATCATTACCATTTGTAATGGGCCCACGAAAGAACTTGGTGAGAAAAAGGGAAAGGAGCCAGAAGCATTCAGAGGAGGTAAGAGGCTTGAGGAGAACCAAGTATTGGTCCATGGCAGCTAGAGAGAGAAAGCGGTCTCATTGGGTAGATTGGCCACCTGCTGTATTCAAATGCCTGTCCAGCTTTGCCCCAGCCTTCCCCATGCTCAGAGCCCGCTCCCCATTCCCGTTCCCTATACCAGCTCTTACCCCTGGGCTCCAGCGACCTCGTGGGAACCCTTTATCTCATTAGCAAAAAGCTCAACCTCATCGCAGTGTGACCCAGGGGCCCCCTGAGGGCCTGAGCCTCTTCCATCAGTGAGTCTCTGAGGTCAGAACCATCTTTCCCACCACCACTAGCAGACATTGCTTACTCGTCCCACTCTCCGGCTCTCCTAGGTATACGGCTGACTTTTCCAGAGGCTACACGATGCTGACTTCACAGCCGTTGGGTGCATAAGCCAGGATGATAATCTAGCTGTATTCCTTGAAGCCAGACACTGGCAAAAATTTAAAACAGTGCTACCCTTGTTCCTAAATTGCTTTTGTTTTGGAAAACAGTTACTTTTTTCATAATGCCACTTACATAATACGTAATGAGCTTATTACTTTTAAATGAATTAAATATTTCACTTCTGAACTGTAATGTCTGATAGCTTAAATACATACACCCCACCCACAAACACGAGCGTTTTGCAGCCGGCGGTGGTTTCTGACCGCGGGAGAGGTGGGGCCGCTGGCTTCTCTCCGCCCCGCCGCGCTCCCCGCCCCGGGCCCCCGGCTTCCAAAAACCGTCCCTGCCCACCCCTCCGGCAGCCGAGGGGTCCTTCTCCTCGGGGCCTCGGGGCGCCCCGGGGGGCTGTCCTCAGGTCGGGAGCCTGACGCCATCTGTCCGCGCAGGGCCGCCCCTTTATGCTGTGTGGCGCCTGACGTCATCTGGCCGCGCCAGGCCGCCTTTCGTCTCGCCCTTCAGCTCCGTCCTCGTCTCGCGCTTCCTCCCCCGAGCAGCCGCCCTCGTGTGTGCCGTTCCCTCCGATCTGTCTTCCACAGATAAATTTGATTTGCGTGGCCTAGTCAAATACCGAGTCAGTCTATGTGTGGGCTTCCAAAGTTACATTAATGGCATTGGATCTCACGTTCCCCCGACGCGGCTGCGGGCTTCCCCCCCCCCCCCCCCCCCCCCCGGGACCTCGGGGGCCCAGGGCATCGCTTCCGGCGGCGGGCGGTCCTCGGGCGGGCAGGGTCCCGCGCCTTCCCCGTCCCCGGGGGGCAGATCCCAGGGGCCTCCAGGGAGTCCCTGTCCTCACTGCACAGAAAGACCGGTGGCGACACCCTCCTCTTAGAGTCACTGTGCCGTCGCGTGTCCCGCCTGTGGTGCCGCGGGCGGCAGCCCCCGCGCAAGCCCCTGCGCCCGCATCCCTCCCGGTCCCCCGCGGCCCCCCCTGGGGGCTGTTACGACCGCGGCGGCGGGCAGGGGAGGCCACGCAGGCAGGGCCCGGGGCGGGAGCGTGCCTCCCGGCGCGTGGCCCTGGGCGTCCGCTTCCGCAGGGGGGCAGGGGCACCACGCGTCCCTCCGAGCTGCCGCGGCGGGAGGGCGGGGGAGGGGAAGGGCTCCGTGCCGGAGGCGCCGCCGACCGCGGGCTTCCGGGCCCTGGCGGTGGGGGTGGAGGAGAGGCGGCAGGAGAAGCGGACGGAGGGGCGCAGCAGGCCCGGGGGCAGCAGGGAGGCCGGAGGTGCCGGTGGCCGGGCTCCTGACAGGCGGTTCTCCACCCTGGCTGCGCAGCAGCACCCACGGGAGCCCTGGCAGGTGCCGACCCCGGGGCCGCCCCAGCTCACCAGTTATCCTGGCGTCTCCAGGGCTGGGGCCCGACCCGGGAACCGCAGCGCCGAGAACCACTGTCCTCCGACACTTGGATTCTCGGACTTTTTCCCCTGCCAGCTCATCCCACTGACCGCAAGATGGTGCCCTCTTCCTGGGAAATCTTTTTGCTGTTCCCGGCACAGGCTGAACAATCCATTTTCTCTCTAATCCTGAAAGAATGGACTGGAATTTAACAATCTTCATAGCATCTCATTAAGCCAGAATTCTGTGCCCTTGATGTCTAACCGTTTAATGTGTATCTTCCTCTTCTGCTAGAAACCGCATTGTTTACTGTCTTACTATAATGCAAGGCAAAGCGATGATGCGGTTACCTTATGATCATAATCATTAGTATCAATAAAAATACTTGATCCCTTACCATTTATTTGCAAAGTGCTCTTCACCAATCATCCTCAGAATAACTCTATCAGATGGGTGTTACGGTTCCCATTTATAGATGAGAAAATTGAGGGTCAGCGCACTAGTTCAAGGTCATAAGGCAAGAGTTTGCAGCACCAGTTCCGGAGCCCTTCCCGCACTGGGATGAGAAGAGCGGGCACACCGCAGAGCCCAGCTGTCAGGCAGCGGGGACAGCGTCCGGAAGCCTTCCTGGGCAGGCAAGGCAGACAAATGCCTCCGGCCTCACACCATCCCAAGCAGCTCAGGAGACGTGTTCGCCTGGGTGAGGGACCAGCCGAGGGCAGATGTGAGGTTTCTAGTACAAAGCTGGACAGAGTCAGCAGACACTCAACCACAGGACAAATTTCATTATTTTTAATTTTCTGTACCAGGAAAACGAACTGCTATGCCAATGGGAAAAATGAATCTTACTTCTGCCTTAAGAAAAAATTGTAAACTCACCTCCAGAGGACATTCTTTTCTACCAGCAAATGTTTATGAGGTTAGTGGATCTGATGAAGGTCATTAACAAGGTCACAAGATCACCTGCAGACTTTCTGCCAGTTTCCCACAGTCAGTCAGGGACCCAAATGTCAGGACCCTGGATGCCAATCACTCATGTTTTTATCCCACATGATGCGGCTGCCAGGTAGGTTCAAGTTGCTTGCAGTAGGCAGAGTTTTCAGGACAGAAGCAGTTACATGGCAAATTTAATAAATAAGTATTTTGGTCATTTTACTGACTCCAGCGTACATATTAGCAAGACAGTATACTGTACCCATTTTCCATGCCTCAACTTCTTTGTAAAATGGTGGTAACTACCCAGCTCATCATAGGATAGTTGCAAGGATAGTTTGTTTAAAAAGCTCTTAGAACCATGCCTAGCAGAGAGTATTATCTGTTTCTTAAATAATGTTAAATACTTAGATATGAGCACATCTATTTGTACATTTTACAAAGGGAATTTTTTTCAAACTCCAGTGTTTAAACCATGTTACTTGCACACTCGCAAGCACAGGAAACATACTTCAGGAAGACTAAAGTATTACAACTAAAACGTGAAATCCCACTGGAAATGCATAAATTTGATTAGAATGGTCCTATAGTCTTTTGGGTCTTATAAACATAAAAAAATAGGTTACAAATTTCTTTAAGTCCACCATGTTTTTCTTTTCATTATTACTGATGTGGGTACGTGGCCCAATCACCGCCTAAATAAATGCAAGAAGAATGCAGTGATCAGATTTTTTCTTTCTCCTCAAGAAAAATCTTCCTTCTCCACAGGATTTCTTCTCTGTTTGGGAATTAGTGACCCTTTTGGAGGGCGCCCTTCAGAGGCACTTTCTGACAGGATGACTTCTCGGTCTGAGTTTCTAGGTGAGAGGGGCTAACCCACAGCTCAGCTCAGCTCAAACTCCATCTTCAAGTGTAAATTTAAAGCATTCAAAAAAAGAGCGTTTGCTCTGGGAGATTTCATGCAACCCCAGGGAGAAAGACTGTAGTGCTGAGAAGGAAACAGGGGCAGGACTGGAAGAAAAACACATGAATGAAGCGCTGTCCATTCCAGCCGTCATTTTTCATGTCTCATTGTGGCATTCGTATTCTTTCAGAACTGCCATATTGTTTCCTGGTAAGAGCTATTCTTTAAGATTTCTTTTTCTTGCAGGATGATTTATGAAGCAGATTTTATGGAGAGGAAGTGAGGATAAGTGTGTACCATTTCCGGTCATCACAGAACTCCCTCCTGTCCCTGCCTGACGCCTAGGTGCACGCGCCCCTGCCCCCCAAACCCCAACCACTAGCGAGCCCTTCCACTAGGGCCTATCCCACCAGGCACAGGAAGAGGCAGGCATGGGGGTAGGAGAGAAGTGGGGACACAGCCAGGTACTCAGGTGGAACCTGAACTAGTTTTACTCTACCAGAAAAATATTTTAAAAGGAGTTTAAGTTTTTAGTAGTGAAATTATGGGGCAGCTGTACTGAGAATCCCACAGGCTCCTGTGCACTGAGCCTGGGCACTGACCTGTTGTTCCTATGGGAAAATGAAATTCTAGTTCCCAATACCTGACCTCACATGGACCTTTACAACAGAAAGCAAGTTGGGGGCTATTCACATACACCCACACGCTCAGGGACGTGGCTGTTCCCATCCCTTCACACTGTCTCCGTGTGTGAGGCACAGCAAAATTGCCAAAGAAATGTGAAAAGCCAAAAGCTAAGATGGAAAGAAACAAGTTAAAGATTTTCTATCTATTGAGTTCAAAGCAATGGTTATGTTGTAAATTCATCTTCACTGAGTTTTTAAAAAAAAGAATGAATATTAAAAATGATCTATTTTTTCTAGAGGTGGTATGGAATAAAACATGGCATTAGTTTTGTAGTCGTAAACTGTGACTCTTGGTCAAACTAACTTTCCAAGCCTCAGTGTCCCTATCTACAAGCAGGGATGACTTTATTAACCTCCCGGGATTAGTGTTTTATCTGAGAGCAGGCACTGTCCGGCGATGAATGTGGCACACGGCGGCCAGTTGTTTCTAATACTTTGTCCCTCTTACCCTGCCTTAACTGCTTTTTGAACTGTTTCACTTCAATAAAAATATTTTAAAACCACATTTAGTTTTCAGAAGCCTTGATTCACACTTTTCTCTGTACTTGGATAACCTATTCATCATCTACTTGACTTAGGTTAATGTCCAGAACAGACTAATGTGGAAAAGGTATTAAGTAATAAATAGGCTCAAAGAGCTTGCTCACGTGGCCAACTGGGGTCATTTATTCGAACAGAGTTGCCTGGCTTTACGCCCAAAAAGGATCTGATTTTCAGAAGACCTGGTAGCTTTCGCATTTTTTTTCTTTTCTCTTTTTTCCTTGAAGAGGGATTTAGACTCTTGTGACAGCCTCAGCCAAGGTCCCTCTGAACAAGAGTCAGGAAAGTCAGATTGTACTTGAATGAATCAAGGAATGACCCCAAGGAAGAACAAATCGGATTTTATCCAAGATGGTTGTCAAAAGTGTTTTTTCAGCCTTACCTTTCGGTCGTCCCACCGCAGCAGCAGAGGCGGTGGGGGGAAGCAGCCCTGTGCACCCAGAGCAGGTGGGCCGTGGTGGGCGCTGCTGTCCTCTGGGGCCCTGCCCGCCCACCAGCAGGATCCACTCCGCTGCCCGGCTGCCCAGAACCCTGTCCCCTCCCAATTCTGTCCCGCTGACCGCCTTCCTGGTGTCTGTCCTCCCACTGGCTGTCAGCGTTGGGGCATCTGCCTGTCAGTTGGAATCTGACGGCCATTCCAGCAACTCTGCGTCCCCTGGAGATGAGGTCCTGACTGGCAGCTCCATCTCCTGGTCAAAAACACACTCCTGCTGTGAGGAAACCTGAGGGCCTGGGAGATTTAGTACAATGATAGCCCCCCAAAATCCCATGTATAAGCCCTCATTCTAACTGTCATTCTTCAGTTTGTAAGACCAGAAAGCTTTCTCTGCTTGGGGTTGAAATGCAGGGTTTTTCCCGCCATCATGGAAGATGTGTTTGTCGTGCGGCTGCCGCGGGCCGAAGCTCAGAGATGTCCAGACACCCTGCATTTCCTGTGTGTGTGAAAGGTTCATTCAGGCGCTTCAGGTGCAGCCACGAGGTCTGATCCTATGTTAGTCTGCAGGGGTGCTGGTTTTAATTTTGTGCTGCAGAAATGAGGCTAAACAGGCAAAGAATAGACCTATAAAAATGGTTTTAACTTACTAATCTACTACCTCATTGACAGCAATTTTAGATAACATGGTCCAGAGGACAAAGTGCATAATTAATGATGAGAAAGTGACTCCTTCAAGTCCCCTAATAAGGAGTTCTGCCTGTGCTAATCGTTTGCCCAGAGCTTTACTCATGCAGAAGTGACGGTCACTGCTTGCTTCTGTCCCCTTCATCCCAGTACTGTCCAGTCTGCATTTCCGTGAGGCGGGAAATCGTGCGCTGAAATGCAAAGATTTCCTCTTCCCCAGTAAACATGGAGAGTCCTTTGGCTGAGTCCTGGTTACCCAAAAAACAAAACAAGAAACAACCTAGCATCAATTAAAGCCCCCAAAATTTACGGAGCGAAGTACAGGTTTAAAAAAAATTGTTTAGGTTTACCTGCTAAGATTATGAAATGTCCTATAAATTTTTTTCATGTGCAATCTCTTAAGACTACAGAAGGACTAATTTCAACTGACAATTGATAAACAGAATAAATAACAAGGAAGGAAATAATAGGGAAAACTTTAGAAGAATAATTAAAACTAACACAATACCCCCAAATCCAAATATGGACATTTTTGCTCAGATGAAAGTTCTCCGCAAAACCTAAAGGAGGGACATTCCAACAGAACAGGAGGGACTCTCCCTCCAGAGCGCATGCGGGGCATGAGTGACGGCCCAAAACAGCAGTGCCGGCAAGCTGGGATGAGGCTGTCACCCCCTCTGGCTCTTGGTGGACACGGCCACCCGCATTCCCTCGGGGAGGGCCTGAGGACAAGTCTCTGAAGAGCCTTTGCAAACCGGATGCCTGGGAGTCTCCTGGGGGTCTGCAGACTGTGCCCAGGGTCTACCATGAGAAGGCCGGGGCCACTGTCAGCCTGAGCTGCTGAGACACGTAGCCCGCCATCTAGGGTTAGGGTGGGGAGGCTTATGTGAGGCCAGTGACCAGCCCGGGACTGAAGATGCCATTGTGGGCTTAGGGCCAGTAGGTGGGCATTGAATTTTTGTCTCTTTCCTTAGGAGTCTGCTATTCTGCTCTTTCAGAGGAAAGTTCTGGACTCCTGGGTCCATGTTCCCCACTGACCCACCGCAAAACTGCATGACCTTGAGGTCACATGCCCTGATTATGAGCCCCACGTGCTGAACTTACTGGCCCTGTATCTGAAACCCAATC